CCATGGGCACACACACACACGGGCACACAGATACCAGGGGCACACACATATATGGGTACACACACACACTATTGGGCACACATACACACACACACACGGGCACACATACAGACACCAGCGGCACGCACACACACAAGGGCACACAGACACACACGGGCACACACACACAAGGGCGTGCACACTCATGGGCACACAGGCACCAGGGGCACACGCACAAGGGCACACACACAGGGGCACGCACACACACGGGTTCTCACACACACGTATGCAGATTGTATTCTCTTTCTGACAAGACCATGAATTGCTTGTAAAACATTTTCTTACCTTTTACAGATACTGAAGCTATAATTTCAGCAGAACCAAAGATGTTTTCCCCTCGGCAAACATACTTTCCCTCATCTGATTTGGAAGCATTTAGGATCCGTAGACTCCCGTCTGGAAGAATAGCTATTCTGAAAATTATTAAAAAGGTTTTTTCCCGTTTTACTACCAATCAGCTAAACAGTAAGAAACGCTGATGAAGTACGAAACCGTTTCTGGAGTAATAATAAATACGATATAAGATCTTCGTGAAAAATATGCAGTGATAGTAGAAATGTTTTATTCCTCAAGAAATTATGCAATAAACCCACTTAATATCTTCTTATATCCAAAAGGGTTCGAGAGTTACAGTTTATTTTTCTTTTGACAGCTTTTGATGGTTAATTTTAAAACTTATGCAGAGGGTGACCCTGAATTTGGTTATTAAAATTTGTTACTATAAAATCACCAGTGATATTCTAATATTAAGCTTGGGTATTTCACCTCAAACCAAGAATGACCTCAAATATCAAATATAAAAAGAAACAGTATTACGACATAGAGGAAGACAAGTGTAGAACATAAAATTAATTGTATACAGCTGAGACATGATTTATGGAGGTTTCTCTGCATTGCCACCAAAGTAGCAAGGGTGTGAAAATGTGACCAAATACTGTGCTGCTTGCATTGCAGGTTTTAAACACAAGAATGTGGTATCTGAATTTGCATTTGGGCTTTTTCAAGACCTTTGTTTAAAGGAGACCTTTTGCTTTTATGAAGGTGAAAAATTAAAACATTCTTAAACATTTTTAGAAGTTCAGTGAAAGTGAGGCTTTTTGGAATTACTGCAGTCTCCTGCGTATTCATCATTCCAGGGATATGTGGATTTCAGATTTAACTAGGACTTGTGTTCTCTTCTCCCTTCTGTGCTCCTGAAATATAAACTATTATCTCACCAGTGCATCAGCCTACTTCAGCAACCTGAGATATAATGGACATTGCTATGTGGTTTCGTTTGATGTGCTGCTAGCTTTGGGTAAGAACCACTGGATGTCTCTGAACTTAAAATCCTAAAGTTGGATGCTCTTATTTCTGAGAACACTTTATTTCATGGCAATATGATAATGTTAAACTATGTAAGATTCAAGAATAATGGCTAAATGTTTAGTCAACTTTCTCTATGTTATTTTAAAATGTGTATTCAATCTTGCCAGAGCTCACAGTTATTTAAAACATCCTAACAATTGACATTAGATTCTGGGCTGCTGAAATACCACTTATGAATGCACACTTACATATTGACATTAATAAAGATACCACTTGAAAGACATTATGCAATTTTCACTATGGTTCAGATTTGACTTACATTGAAGGAAGACAAATTTAGAAACAAATCAAATCAGAGAATTTGATTTTATAATTTATGTCTAGGAGAGATACTAGCTTGAGATATTTGGGAAACACATGCTCTTAAAAGATGTGTAATCCATTCAACAGGGTCAGTGAAAAGTTCTGTGCATTATTTAGATAATGTTTATGCTCTAGAAGAATAGAATATGAAGTATTTGTTCCAGTTCAGTCCCAAAGTGACATACATTACAAAAAGATGTATTCAAAAGCAAGAATCACCTTCCATGCAAACAAATAGATATCCTCTTGTAAGAATTACAGACCATTGACATTTATCTAATTCCTATAATATGCAGAGATTGTTAATATTTTTTAAATATCTGGATTTCACTGATTAGACTAAGTTCTAATCCAGCCAGTGAGAAGTTTGGCTGAAAAGTCCAACTCCTTTAAATAAACAAATGTGTCTTAGCTATTGGCATATCATGGCTCTTGATTTAAGATGAGTGCTTTCTTACTGACAGGAGGCAATGTCTATTCTCCTTTTAAAGATAGTTTATGATGACCAGTACACTTTAGGCCACTGATCTACTTGGGGATGAAGAATTTTTAATACCACAGTATATTTTCATCTGTCAAGTGGCAGTGTCAATGAAGCGAAATCCTGTCTACTGATTCAAATTGCAAATGCTCGCCAGAGGAGCTCGCTTTCCACTTAGAAAAGAAAAATAGATTAGATAATGAATGTGACTTACATTCTAATGACTGGTTATTACACATCAAATTACTCAGATAATTGAATATGGAGTTAAAGGGTCCTTGTGATCTGGCTTCCTTTATCTCCCCTCTCCCCTCTGCTATTACCCTGTGGCTCCTACATTCTGAAATTTTCAGATCTGGAGAGTAATTCTGCCAAGACATCCTTGGACTTGGAGGAGGGATACAAAGGAGAGGTGAGGTAATGATTTTACTGGTTAGGGAGGGATTTTAGAATCCCAGAGCACTCTGGCATTCAGAAGCAAGTCATGCTTACTCTGTTCTGGTTTCTTGGTTCTCACTTTGTTCCTACTAATAGTTACTGGGTCTCCGGCTTGTTAATCTGTTCTGTACTCCAGTCATCTACGATATCATTGTGCTTGCCCTATTTTGAAGGGATTCTTTGTTAACTTCTTGATGTGATCTTGATTTGCAGACTTTAGGGCCATTTTTCTGTATCCTCCATTCCCGTATTTGATTTACCCAGTAGACACCACCCCCCTAGTGTGGACCTTTCCATGAAGACTGCTTGCTTCAGAGAACCATCTATTTACCTTCTGATGTATTATTTAGTGATCAGGCTCTGACTCCCCAATTAAATTTTTCTAATCAGTAGAAATCTATTTTCTCAAAATTCTGTAGACTGGAAAATCCAAAAACAAGTGCCAGCATGGTTAGGTTGGAGTAAAGAGTATCTTCCTGGTTTGACGAGCGCTGCCTACCACACCCCTGACCCCCACCCTGTGTACTCACACTGCCTTTCCTTGGTACATGGGAAGAGGGGGAGGGAGAGAGGGAGAGAGAGACAGTGAGATGTCTCTAGAATTGAGATCACTTCTTCTTTAAGTCACTAATCCTATTAGATTGGGACTCTAACCTTATAACTGCATTTAACTTTAATTTATAAAACTCTGGTTTAAATATTGTTACACTGAGGTTTAGGGCTTCAGTATATGAAACTTTGGAAGGACACAGTTCAGTCTATAGCACATGCTACCCCTGCTTCTACACATCCTCACATTAAATTAGGGACCAGTCTTCCCTTTAGCATAACATATGCTTGTAGCAAGCTAGGAAATAAATACTCAGACCTCTTACTTCTTCACCACTCCAGTTTCCTGCGGGTGCTTCTCATCACGCCATTGCTCCATTGCCAGGGGGCAAAGTGCCCACTGCTATAGTTCTTAGGGACCTGCCTTCTGAGGGGTGCAGCAGAGGACTGAAGGACAGAGAATGGATTTGGCGGTGTGGATGGAAGATGCTCTGTCAAGTTGTATCACAACAGTTGCAAAAAGCTAAAAATGAATTCTTACGCCTATAGAAGTTTAGAGGGTAACTTAAACTTAGCTAGTCAAATCTAATTTTACAGATCAAAGAATTAAAACCTGAGGAAATTTGAGTGACTCGTTGGGCCCATGAGATGTTAAGAAATAGAATTTATAAATAATTTCTGTGTCATACACTAGCAAACACTTGTAATAGTTTTCTATTGCTGGATAACCAATTACTACAAACTTAGCAGGTTACTACAATGCCTGTTAATTAACTCAACATCCATTTAATACTTTAGGTTGGAAGTCTGGGTGGGTGGGTGTCTAAGTTTTCTGCTTAAGGGCTTCAAAGGCGAAAATCAAGGTATGGACCAGGCTATTCTCTCATCGGGAAGCTCTGCAGAACTGTCTGCTTCCCAGCTTATCCCTGGTGTTATGTGGCCTTACTTCCTTACTGCGGGTCAGCTGGGTCTGCTCTCAGCTTCTAGAAGCCACTCGCATTCCTTGGTATACAGTCCTCTCTAACAGGTTAGTTTTCTTTCCAGTATCAAATCAGAATGGATATTATGTCATAGAATCGTTAATCATTAATTGAGACTATATACATTAAATTAGGATAGAGCAGGCTTCATATCACTGCCATTGACCTTGAGCAAAATTATATAATGTCTTTTCTTAACTGTAAGACTGTCACAATATTGTCTGACCAGTTCTTTGGAAGTATGAACTAGATAATTCATGTAAATTACTGTACTTTCATGATGTGTGATATACATTAATCTAAACTTACTCAGCCAGGCGCCATGGCTCACACCTGTAATCCTAGCATTCTGGGAAGCCAAAGCAGGTGGATTGCTTGAGCTCATGAGTTGGAGACCAGCCTGAGCAAGAGTGAGACCCTGTCTCTAAAAATAGCTGGGTGTTGTGACGGGCATCTGTAGTCCCAGCTATTTGGGAGGCTAAGGCAAGAGAATCACTTGAGTCCAAGAGTTTGTAGTTATGAGCTGTGATACCCTGGCACGCTACCCAAAACAACCAAGTGAGACTCTGTCTAAAAATAAATGAATACATACATAAATAACTATAAAACAAAAACTAGAAGTTACTGAAAAATATAAACCAAATTTGTGATAAATATTAAAAAGGAAAAATTTAAGAGTAAGGAGAGTTCTTAAGGCATAAACCTCAGCTGTTGAGACAAATATTTTCTTGGAGAGTAACCCTTGATCTGAGAATGGTTCATTTGAGCTGATCCTTCCATGTGAGAGAGGGAAGGGAGTAGTGTATGTGAGGGCCCTGAGCAGCGAAGGGCCCTGAAGCCGTGAAGAACCAGATGTCCAATCATGACCACAGCTGGGAGGGAGGAGGGGAGGGGAAAAGATGGGACTGGAGAGAGACACGGGCAAGATCATCTAGGACCTGGTATCCTATGAGGAGTATTTGGTCCTTGTTTTAAGGGCAATAGGAAGCTTCTTATTTTTTTTAAACAGCTTTATTAAGATTTTATAGGCACATAATAAGCTCACCTGTTTGAAGTGTATGCTTTGAAAAGTTTTCAGGTATGGATGTAAGTATGAGCCCCCTACCACGGTCAAGATCATAAGTATGAGCCCACTACCACGGTCAAGATCATAAGTATGAGCCCCCTACCACGGTCAAGATCATAAGCACATCCACCTCGGTGTTCCTTTCCTTTGCACTCTCTCCTAGCTGCCTCTCACCTATCCCCTCGCCAGGCAACCACTGATCTGCCTTCTGTCACGGTAAATTTGCTT